TTGACGTCATTCCAATTTTCTTGCGTAAAAGAAGCAAAAGTCTGTTTGGGAAAACTATGATCGATACGTCTGTTAGAAAAAGCTTTTAGCTACTGTCTGAAGAGAAGTGCTCTTATTGCCCACCTGTTCTGTCTGTGAATCGCAATTAAGTGTAAAAATCATGAAACTTTAATATTTACTTTTTTTTTTAAAGAAAAGGTTGGAAAAGATCTTAGAACAACTGGCATCAATAATTTTGCTTCTTTTTCTTTTCTTTATCATTATTATTATTATTACTTTATTTTTTTTCGTTTTTATTTTTTGCTTTAATATCTTTAATTAAACCGCACCCAACCTCTTTCTTCTTTTGTAAATTGACAGCTTTGTGTTTTGGTTTTTATCAAGTAAAACAGTTGTGAAGATTATATGAGCCGCGTCATGACAAAACCAATAAAATGGGTTTGTGACTAGCATTGATCCAGACCAGCCTGCGCATCCGCGCAGTCTGATCAGGATCCATGCTGTTCGCTATCAGTTTCTCTACTTGTAATAGGGTTTGTAAGCGAACAGCATGGATCCTGATCAGACTGCGCTGGTCTGGATCCATGCTGGTCGCAAACGCACTATGTTGGTTTTGTCGTGACGCGGCTCATATATAATATTATGTAATTCGTATTTAACGGTGCAACCAGCTGATATATCATGTAATCATTTATCATAATTTTCAAATAAATTCAATGTAAATCGGAAAGCGTCACATAATTCTTTCTCTAGCTATCATTATTTTTTATTTCTCAAAATTATTAATTTTGATATCTTTTGACTCATTTGCCACATAAAATTTTGTATGGAAGTCAAAATACGACTTTGTTTACATTTTGTTACCTTTACGACACATTATTGCATGTTCAACTTTCTTCAGTTGTTAAACATCAAATATGCTCTAAATCCATCATTAAAACATAATTAAACACATGTTTGATTTTCTAAAGAATTAAACGAAAAAATGGATTTCTGAGGTTAAATATCTTTTTTGTTTTAGCCAAAAGAAATTATTTATTAAATTCACACTAGACTATGACAAATATCGTTATATTGATTGTTAGATGTAAAAATTTTAATAATGTTAGTTTGAAATAATTTAAAATTTGTAACTTCTACACAATATTTAATTTCACGATAATTTGAGCTTAGTCTACAAATTATTAAAATAGAAAAAAACGGAATCCTTAGAGAACGCTCGAAACGACAAAAATTGAAAATGTTGCAGGCTGAAAAAAATCAATACTTTGTCATAACTTGTGGCCCAATCATTTTGCTTTTAAATAATTCAATTATACGTTAATATCATAATTATACTAGTATACAGAATTTTTGATACTGTTTTTTCCCCACTTTATCATTCTGTATTGTTGATTAAACTATTTGAATTGGTTAAATATATGATGAAACTAAAATTCGAGCCATTAGTTGTTAATATCAGTTTAATCCTTCTTTTAACAAGTATAATCTATTGTCTTCTTTAATTTCCTTTTTGGTTTCTATAATTTCCTATTCTGAATTATTTGAATTAACACTACGTCCGTGCTTTGCCTTGTGTCCTGTCCTGTTTTGTAATAATATGAGCCGCGTCACGACAAAACCAACATAATGGGTTTGCGACCAGCATGGATCCAGACCAGCCTGCGCATTCGCGCAGTCTGATCAGGATCCACGCTGTTCGCTTACTAACCCTATTACATGTAGAGAAACTGATAGCGAACAGCATGGATCCTGATCAGACTGCGCGGATGCGCAGGCTGGTCTGGATCCATGCTGGTCGCAAACCCATTATGTTGGTTTTGTCGTGACGCGGCTCATATATTTTTTCCTCTTGTAGATGGATGCGTTCATTGAATGCCATCCTTCCTTGTTGTTGATTTTTTCTCTCTCATCTTTTATAGTACTAAAATACAAATAAGTGTGTGTTATACATATACGTGTACATTTCCGATCATTTGTTTTCAGGGTTAAAGGTCAATTTCGTTAGAATTTTCATTTCATGTAAGTGGTCTAGAAATATCGGGAAAGTGTCATATTAAAGTATCTACGATCAACGTCGTATGAAAGATCAACAAGGCAAAGGCAACGTTCACAGGACGCAGCCCACGACACAAGTGTGAGGTACATTAACACATCTACTTATAATCACATACCGTTTCCATATGTTAAATTTAATGAATTATGTGAACGTTATTTTGTCTTGTTAATCTTATTTTCCGCCTTTTTTACCCATCAAGCAGGCATGCTAGTTGGTGGTGGGGCAGGGTTAAAGTCAGCGTGCAACTGTTTCAATATAGTCGTTCTTAAAAACCTTCAGTTTACCAGTATTTTAAGCACTTTTTTCAATTTTGACGTCATCGCCTGTAATATGTGCGTGTAATCAACAATTGCGTGCACATTTTCATCATTATTTATTAATTGAACCTGGGAGTGAACCAAGTGGTGGGAAATAAAGCTCTCAAACTGTCTATAAAAACTAGGTCTAGTTTTTTAATTGCATGTTTTCAAATTAATTGAAAATTTCAGATGCCTTTGTATAATAACACTTGAATTAAAATCATCTCTTCAAGTTATTACAAGTGTTCTTTTTAAACGGTAATAAAATGAGAAATGTGGTCGCTTCTTAAACCAGAAACGTTCTATTAGGTGAGTGTATACAGGTTATGGGCCCAATAAACTGGCGAGGGCAGCTATAGCTGTATACAGGTTATGGGCCCTTTAAACTGGCAAGGGCTATAGTGTGTTCTATAAACTGGCGAGAGCTATAGTGTAAACAGGTAATGGGCCCTATATACTGGCGAGGGCTATAGTGTATACAAGTTATGGGTCCTATAAACTGGCGAGGGCTACAGTGTATACAGGTTATGGGTTCTATTAACTGGCGAGGGCTATAGTGTATACCGGTTATGGGCCCTATAAACTGGCGAGGGCAGCTATAGTGTATACAGGTTATGGGCCCTATAAACTGGCGAGGGCTATGGTGTATGCATGTTATGGGTTCTATAAACTGGCGAGGGCTATAGTGTATACAGGTAATGGGCAATACAGGTTATGGGTCCTATAAACTGGCGAGGGCTATAGTGTATACAGGTCCTATAAACTGGCGAGGGCTATAGTGTATACGGGTAAATGGTTCTATAAACTGGCGAGGGTTATAGTGTATACAGGTTATGGGCCCTATTAGACTGGCAAGGGCTATAGTGTATACAGGTTATTGGTCCTTTAAACTGGCGAGGGCTTTAGTGTATACAGGTTATGGGCCCTATAAACTGGCGAGGGCAGCTATAGTGTATACAGGTTATGGGTCCTATAAACTGGCGAGGGCATCTATAGTGTATACAGGTTATGGGCCCTATAAACTGGCGAGGGCTGAAGTGTATACCGGTTATTGGTCCTATAAACTGACAAGAGTTATGGTGTATACAGATTATAGGCCCTATAAACTGGAGAGAGCTGGAGTGTATACAGGTGACGGTCCCTATAAACTGGCGAGGGCAGTTATAGTGTATACAAGGAATGGTCCTTATAAACTTGCGAGGGCTTTTATATTGAATACATATAAATATAAAAGGGAAAAAACCAGTTAAAAGTGAATTGGTCTATATAGTTAAAGGTCTGTAATACAATGACTATATACGTTGATAGTGTTTAGTATTAGACATAACAACAAACTACGAAATAATTCATATATTTATAAAGAAGATATGTACATTGAAAATATTTTGTCACGGTTGGTATTGAATATAAGATTGATAATTATTTATTAAGTTTTATACTTTTTCACCATTTTACAAATTATCATTAAGACTTTTAAGTGTCCATTAAAAAATGTTGGGCAATATTATAGTAAGTGTGCCGATCGGTCGCATGCGGTGTCTTTTCATGCAATCAACTAAAAATATTTTTTTTTTCATCGACAATTTTATTTTGTTATAATTAAGTCTTCTTATTATTTATATCTTTAGAGTGTTATTTAACATTTTGTATAAAATAAGCGAAGAAATGGACATTTTTTATCATGATGCTAATCAGAGCTGACCATATGACGTCAATAAACCAAAATTAATGTCGTCAAGAAAATTACTTTTACAAACATTTTTTTCCAATTCACTATTTGATTTGCATGTTAGAATAAATATTATTTTATCTTGCATTAGTATAATAATATACGGTAAATTTATCGTTCAAATGCTTTGTAATTTGATAATTAGATCTATATTATAATAATCTAATTTGATAATGCCAGAGACATATAGATAACATCACGGATTTATATTACAATAATAATTATCCGTGATAACATCTATGTCTCTGAAAATGCTCAAAATTAATATCCATTTTCAAATATAAAGAGACATGCAAAATTGTACATAAATGGTAAATGAATAAGTAGATCTACTATATCTTGTTCTCTCACAGAAGTAGAAGGCTGGCTTATATAGTATAGAATAGTATATACATGTAGTAGAAGAAATCTTATTTCCAATCACGAGCCTTTAAATTACAGGCTATCTATCTATCTCTGGATACTGCGAGGATTTCCTGGATTTCTTACCATATCATATCATATTATAATAAGATATTGTATAAGATGTAAAGAACTAAAAAAACATATTCCGGACCTCAGTAGTTTATTTGGCTTAACATATTATAATAAAACTGCTTAATTGGGTAATGTACAGTATAGCTTTTGAAACGTATACAATACATATACGTTGTACAATTAATGAATCCCTATGACGTTAACAAATGATTTAACGTGTACATCCTTGTACAGTGATGATTGGTGTCCTTGTTCTATTTTAAGAATCAATGTGACCTTGATTATTATTTTTTTCACAATTCATTTTATTTCGATTAAAGCACTTTCTCCGAATTATATTGTGTAACAAAGAATTGATAGCAAATAAATTAAAAGAATTTTTAGTTTTTGAATAAAAATAATATGAAAACGTACATTACCGGAAACGTACGAACAGAGCAAGTGCCCGGATAGAATATGGCGTCGACTGAACTGACCCAGAACTGCTAACAGTCACAAATTTCAATCCAAAACAGGTCCATTTTAGCGCTAAATTGCGTTAAATCAATCCCAAACGAATGCATTAATGGTAATGCATGCAAGGAAACACCCCAGAATCGATGATGGGTAAGATATATATAGAAATCCCGTTTTCCAATGTAGCAAAAGTAAGCCGCCATTTTTGTTGTTAATTTCAGAATTTTGTTACTTTTTCAACGTAGTTACTACGATATAAAATAAAGAAATACAACATGTAACACAAATCTTATGGTTTGTTTTATCTGATTTCAGGTATCCTGACAAGCGAGAGGCCCAGTCATACCAGGTACACAGCTGTCTCACTTTGAAAGCTCTGAAAATTTTGCAAGACTGAAGGGTTGAAGAAGTGTTTTGCAACAGTGACAAGATAGCAATCACATCAATTTACAATTCTTATTGATAATTGATAATCAGAAGTTTAAGCATATCCTATTTTAATGTCTATTTTTTTTATTTTTTAAGTGTTGCGGTCATCTAGACTAAGGGCTATATACTGGATAAGACCCCGGGGTCTAAACCAGGAATATATATTGTCGGCTCATTCTGTATTAGTAGTTTTTATTATATAACATATAGACATCATCAGAGTCTATTCTAAAAGATTGCCTTTATAATTATTGGTTCTCATTACAGGAGAGTAGAGTCTAAATAACGTACAAAATTAATACTGGGACATCAAACGCGGGCCCAGGCTTTCGCTTGCCCGGCAAAAGACTACATTTGTAAACATAATGATAGAAACTATACTAAAAAAAATAAAAAATATATAGAGTACTATACTTGACAGTGAAAATTTCTGCCAACTTTTCGGCTTAATATAATCATTGAGGTGTTTGTATTGAAAAGGGAAGTGGTGCATGAAATACCAAATGACACCTTAAAAAACGAAAATTGTACAATGAAAATTAACAATTTTTTTTTATCTCACCTTCCCGTTCACAGGCTTTGCCTCTTTCCTGTTCATAGGCTTTGCCTACTTTCATATTAGAAAATTGATATAGTTATATCAAAAGTAATGATAACTATTTTTGTAAACCAGATAAATTATTTTTTACAAAGACAACCACAAATAATGTATACATTAATAGCATGTAACTTAATTTTACTTGGAAGAACAACAATAAAAGTTATGAAATACCTGTAATGTCTTCATAAATATTGCCTTATTAAATTTAAATATTCATTAATATATTATCTCAACTGTCAGTACTGTCAAGTCTGTATAAACTGCATATCCTTGCAAAATCATTGTTAGATACTAAAGAAATTACTCAAAATTGAATAAAATCACTTGGGAATGCTTCATCACCAGCAACTGTGAGTGTTTCCTTTCAAAAGCACTGATTGCAACTAAAAATAAAATTGTGGGGGTATTATATAATTATTTAAATTTTATATCCATATGATATTTTAATGATACTGTACTGACAATAGTTAATACATGACTGTTTAATAAATCCATTTATACAATTGAAATTCACTTACTTCTACCTCAATTTCAGTCCCATAAAAAATGTATCTTCAGCCTGCTGGCTTTGATCAAAACCATAATTTATTTAACCATACTTGTATTAGTGTCATGTTTGCTGTGAATAGAGCTGTCATCCATACAAACAATATTGATGCATCATTGGTATTTTTGTTGTTGATCAGTGATCTTAGACTCTATATACATTTGAAAAATTTGATAATGTTGACTAATTAAAAAAGAAATGAATTTTCACCAAAAAACATATACAGAAGTGGGTATCCTTGTCTAAAACTGTGCTGTTGTTAAGTAATGAACATATTTTATAGCAGTGATGAGGAGAAAAATCATACCATTGACATTTATTAACAAGATACATCATAATTGTATGAACCATTTTTTTTTCTAAAATCATTTAAACAGGTATGAAATTGAATAATAGACAAGTAATAAGTTATTATTGATACATAAGTGTATGGTTGATACCTTTTTATCCCCTTTTGATATATTGTTGATATGCTTTGAACTAGATCAATGACAGCTTAAGCTATGGAAGATATAATGTAATAAATGAATATTGCACATTTATTTGAACAGAGGGCTTAAGTATCAAGACTAAACTCTTATTTTATGTTGAAGGCTCTTTATTTTGGCAAAAGACTGAACATTATTTTTTCTTTTAGTACATGATACTACATCCAGGGTTGTCAAGAGACTATTCGATTAACAATCATGAAAAATTGTTGATTTTCATTAAATTGCTGTCAGTTTTAATCTGCAAATTACTGTTCAGTTTTAATCTGCAAATGACCATTCAGTTAAGTGATAAGAAAATAAATTGTGAATTACACAAGTTGCTTAATGATGGACATTTCTTGAAGCTGATTTATGTGATATTGGTGTAATGCACTGTATTATGTATATGGTTTGAGTTGTGTTACATAGTACATAGCATTTCTGTTATTTTCACAACAATAGAATGTTTTATGTCAAACTTTAAAGAATTTTATGCATTTCTTTGTACTTTATGCATAGAGTCCTCAGTGTATAGATTTTAAATCGCATCATAAGTTTATATACAAAGTTGATTTCCCATTTTGAGATAACATTGTTTTTTCACCTAGATCCTTGAAGAAGTTACAAAGTTTGAACAAGTATCACAGTAAAATTACTGACTTTATTGTTATGACACCATATGAAAGGTTTAGTGCAACTATTTAAAATGCATATTTCAGTCCTCCCAATACCCATCAAAGACCGGTTACAGTAACCATAACGACAGATATGAGAGACGTCGGTCACCAGGGAGAGACAGTCCCGCATCTCGTGATAGTCCCAGATATATCAACAAATCTTCATATATTGAGAGAAATAAAGAGAAATATGAAAGGGGTAAGTAATATATTTTTTTAAACATTAACTTATTTCTTTGCTTTAGGACTTGGTAACCAATGTATTCCCCTCAACGTTTGACTGGCAAGGGGTTTGTAATCTTGGCTGTTGTAAATTAATACTTAGTAAACAGGCCATCTGTTTGGCATGCATGTTGGGCATTTTTATTAATTGTCAGCTCAATTTTACCATTACCTTGCTGGTGAAGGCTGTATTTATCCATGACTATCAATACTGTCTGACCATTGTTTGCACCGGTCTCTATTCTGTCAGTACATATTTTTAAATTTTTCCTAAAAATGATAATGATTTTGTCAGAATTAAAAGATGGGACAAGACCATTTCTGATACTTAACAGGGTAAAAGTTATGGTGTAGAATTTTGGATTTTTTCCGCTTGCCACGGACAAGTTGAACTAAAATTTCTTCCTGTCTGCAGTTGAAGTTCACCTGCCAAAATATTGAAAAACAGGTTTATTACAATGGCTTTATTTAACCAGTGAGTCTTTGTTACTTGGGTTTTTGCCAAAACTTGTACTAGGACACGCGTGACACCTTTGGACAACATCTAAATTCTAATGCTACGTAAGACTTGTCCTTTGACTCCTTTCTTAGTAATGTGTAGCAGATTTTCCTATGGAAAGGGCCGCGGTCGTTTCCATGGTTTGCTTGAAGATTCAACAGTAATCACTGTTTGCTGGAAGATTCAACAGTAATTTTAAAAGTAAAATCTGTAAACCAGCTTTCTTTAAACACACTCATGAGTTTGTGGACACATTCTTTGCCTCTCTGTGCTTAAGCTTTACGCAAATCAGGTTCTTTGGGTGTTTCAGGCAGCTTTGCACCTTCGGACCTTACAACAAATTTTGTATCCAAACAATTTACAACACACTCGTCACTGTCATACTGTGCATTATTTACTGAAGCACAAGTCGGTTGCCTCAAAACGACCATACGCCAAGCTTGTTGTTTTTAGCTCACCTGTCACAAAGTGACAGGGTGAGCTTTTGTGATCACTTTTCGTCCGGTGTCCGTCCGTCGTCTGTCCGTCGTCCGTAAACTTTTATTTAAATGACATCTTCTCATAAACCACTAAGCCAATTTCAACCAAACTTCACAGGAATGTTCCTATGGTGGTCACCTTTGAAAATTGTTCAAAGAATTTAATTCCATGCAGAACTCTGGTTGCCATGGCAACCAAAAGAAAAAAACTTTAAATATCTTCTTCTAAAAAACCCAAAGAGCTAGAGCTTAGATATTTGGCATGAAACATCTTCTAGTGAGTGTCTACCAAGTTTGTTCAAATAAAAGCCCTGGGGTCAAAATTGGCCCCGCCCCAGGGGGTCATTGATTTTCCCTATATGCATTTAGTAAAAACTTAAAAAATCTTCTTTTAAAGAACTCAAAGATCTAGAGCTAAGATATTTAGCATGAAACATCCTCTAATGGGTGTCTACCAAGTTTGTTCAAATAAAAGCCCTGGGGTCAAAATTGGCCCCGCCCCAGGGGGTCATTGATTTTCCCTATATGTATATAGTAAAAACTTATATAATCTTCTTTTAAAGAACCAAAGAGCTAGAGCTAAGATATTTAGCATGAAACATCCTCTAATGGGTGTCTACCAAGTTTGTTCAAATAAAAGCCCTGGGGTCAAAACTGGGCCCCGCCCCAGGGGGTCATTGATTTTCCCTATATGTATATAGTAAAAACTTATAAAATCTTCTTTTAAAGAACCCAAAGAGCTAGAGCTAAGATATTTAGCATGAAACATCCTCTAATGGGTGTTTACCAAGTTTGTTCAAATAAAAGCCCTGGGGTCAAAATTGGCCCGCCCCAGGGGGTCATTGATTTTCCCTATATGCATATAGTAAAAACTTAAAAAAAATCTTCTGTTAAAGAACCCAAAGAGCTAGAGCTAAGATATTTAGCATGAAACATATTCTAATGGATGTCTACCAAGTTTGTTTTAAATAAAAGCCCTGGGTCAAAATTGGCCCGCCCCAGGGGTCATTGATTTTCCTTATATGTGTATAGCAAAAACTTAAAAAAGTCTTCTTGAAAAAAAAAAAAAGCTAGAGTTTAGATACTAAGCATGAAACATCTTCTAGTGAGTGTCTACCAAGTTTGTTCTTATAAAAGCGCTGGGGTTAAAATTGGTCCCGCCTCGGGGGTCATTTTTTCCTTATATGTGTATAACAAAAAATTTTCTTTAAAAAAACTCAAATAGCTAGAGTTTAGATATTAGCATGAAGCATCTTCTAGTGAGTGTCTACAAAGTTTGTTCAAATGAAAGCCCTTGGGTCAAAATTGGCCCCGCCCCGGGGACATTCATTTTCCTTATATGTGTATAGCAAAAACTTAAAAAATCTTCTTTGAAAAAACCCGAATAGCTAGAGTTTAGATATTTAGCATGAAACATTTTCTAGTAAGTGTTTACAAAGATTGTTCAAACAAAAGCCCTTGGGTCAAAAACTGGCCCTGCACCAGGTGTGTCATTGTTTTTAACTATATGTGTAAAAGAAAAAACTTGACCAGCTAGACCTTAGATGTTTAGCATGAAACATCTTCTAATGGGTGTCTACCAAGTTTGTTCAAATAAAAGCCCTGGGATTTAAACTGGCCCCGCTCCGGGGGCCTATATACAGGTGAGCGACTTCAGGGCCATCATGGCCCTCTTGTTTCAATAGAAGCAAGAGGCCTTGTACACGTTGAAATGGCTTTGTATAGTATCGATTTATTTGTGCTGCTGGAGATGGTTTATTAATGAGATTTACATATGTAAACACAGATTAAACAACAGCGGTAAAAAATATAACGTTCACGATTAAGTACGGTTAAAATAAAAACAAAATCGCTTCTTTCCTGAAAGAAAAATATTCTTTTTTTTCCCTGTTTATTATGTGAAAGTACAAAGATGTTTAATGCAAATTGCAGAATAGTGACTTTGTATTTATAATGACTACATAAAAGGCACAAAAAATCTTATATGTCTTCAGTCTATACTACCCTCTTGATTCCGATACATGATTTAGTTGTAAGTGTTATGATTACAAAGAATTTCCTTAAAATGAGAAATTTTACATGATCTTTTATCACTGTTAACTGAATGCATGATTTTGTAATCTGACTCGTGTGATCATACATGGCAGTGATTTTTTTTCCAATTTTCAAAACAACCTGTGGCTTTCTGCAGGGGAAAATATAGCGCGATAAATCAGAAAAGGGGGAAATCAAATTCCAACAACTGAGAGTGGAATACCCACACATTTTATAAAAATTTTAATTTCAATTCAATTTATCATGCATGGTACATAGCAGAGGCTATAGGGATTCTAGCTGATATAATAAGTCAGATGCTGTTATATAATGGTTCTGGTGAAGTGCACAGGGCATTACAGGGGAAAATATTAGCTTTTTTAGGGGGAAATATACCTATTTTTAGCTAGGGGAAACAGCCTTTTTTTTCGGCTGTAAAATACAGGAAAAAAAATCACTGCATGGGTTCGAATAAGATGGAAATAAATAATTGAACAGAATGAAAAAGGTCATATAATGATAAAGTAGTAAATTAATGATCAATACTGGTAGACAAAGTTTATTACTTTATCCTCTTAATAACAAAAAAAGGAAGGAGTCGGGGACTTCTTATATCTGACAGGGACTTCTGAATTTTAAAACAGATGTCTCGTCAGTATTTCTGACTGAAAAGTTAGTGTCAACCCCTGGTCTGTTTTGTCCTTTGATCAATTGTTGTCCTGTCCTGGCATAGTACCAAACATTTTAAGTCAGATTTATTTACTTGATTTAGTTGCGAGTTTTTTGAAGATTATTCAATGTATGATGATACTGAATTTCTTTTAGGATTTCAACTAAATTAATTTCTTTGATGTTAATAGGGAACGAAAATTCCCCTGGGGGAAAGAAAGCCAACCATAACTATGCAGGAGGGAGTAGTAATACAAATGGTGGAAGCCATGACAGACCAACAACAAGGAACACCTCAAATGCCAAGGACAAAACAGAGGTATGTACTTAAGTTTTCATCCAACTTTGTGTAATTTATTAAGTATGATGTTACTTAACATGGATATTATTGTGACTTGAGAAGGGTTTTCATTATTAACAGATTCGTCTGTTAAAATGCTATAGAAATTCATTGGTTTTTTTTAGCCTGTAGATAAAAATATCCACCTTGACTAATGGGAAAATTGGTTGTTTTAGTTATCACTTCTGTAGCCTCAGATAAAAATGAAAACCCTGCTTTTAAAAGTGTATATGAAATTGTATGTAATTTACAGATATTGATAGGGCCTAAAAAAAAAAATATTGACAATATGATCCGCCATTTTGTAACTAAGAGCGGCGATAAAACCTGTACCGTACCTCAATAATACGGTATTTTTTTTTTTTTTTTTTTTTGGACACGAAAAAAACGGTAGGGTCGGCGTATATTATTAGGTAGGGTCGGGTGACCCGAACAAAACAATTTTTTTTTTTAGGCCTAGATACCCAGGTTACTTATTGAACTTTCCTTGTCTAATTGCAAAATAGATGACACAAAATATATGAATTATTCCATCCTTTGAGCATTTCCCATCTTTTGAGGCATATAAAATTGTTAAGGAGTGAAGTAGATAGCATTGATTAAGGTGGAAGTGTTGAAATTTAGAAATTCTGGAAAGGGGATATTTCCTAGTGAAGTAAAAAATAAGAAGTTTACTCTGTTCGTGAGATTAAATGGAAAGTGCAATATTGCCAATGAGCACTAGCATTGGTTTTCAATCCTAAGCAAAAATAAGAGATCCTGAAGAAGCAGAAAAGTGTAAATTATGTATAGAGCAACATATTTTATAGCTGCTATATACTGCATGTAAAAACCTACTGTTGAGAATATGAAATAATTTATTATAAATCATAAAAAAGCCTCAAGTGCAATGAAAAAAAACCCACCAAATAAAGTAGTTCAAATGCTCTTATTTGAAAGTTAATGGATATAAATTTATCCAAGCTGTTTAAACATATATATTTTCTATGACTGAATAGGTGCAAAAAACTGCAATACGTTCATGTGGAGAGTGGTCAGAGCACCTCAGTTCCACGGGGAAGAAGTACTACTATAACATCAAGACGGAGGTGTCCCAATGGGAGAGACCTAGAGAGTGGAGTGACTCGTAAGTTTTATTGCTTTCATTCTAGAATGTAGTTTGTATTCAATAATTCTGAAGAAGTAAAAGACATGTTTAAAAATTTGTAAAGCAACCTTCCTTTAAATGTTGTAGATTTTAGCAATCTTGCATTGACTGCTTTTTTTCTACTCCAAAATTGTTAACTTTTTGCTGACTAGAAATATGTGAATAAGTGGTCTGACTTGTTTCTAAATGATCAAGAAAAAATACAGGCCTTCTAGCAAGATTTAACTGAATAAGTTATAATTTTGTCACTTGGAAATGTTAGCCATTTTTTGCAAGTTCATAAAAATCATGAAAATTTCTTCAACCCAAATCCTTATGTCTTTCAAGATTTGTGAGCATTTCCATTCTGGAAATGTCTTAAAACTTCTTAAATAGTGATATCTTTGTCCTTTTGATTTCATACAATATTAATAGTGGAGGTTATCATTATATTTCAGATCGGCAGTTCGACCAGACAGACATTCAACAGACTCACGAACCAATAGTGAAAAACACATTTCTAAAGGTAGCTTTTTTTATAAACGCTAAATTTATGAAATTATGTCCTGTTTAAGAGATGTCCCTGTCAAAAGTGTATACTGAATTTTAATTTCTGTTTCTAAATCTCTGAATATTATTAACATTCTGTTCATGATTTTAGTTAATTTCAAAGTCTTTTAAATGGTAGCATCATCTTAAGCTAATCATCTTAAGTATTTACGGTAAGTGTAATTAAAGAGTTGGAATATTCTGAAGCTCGTATTTCGTTTAAAAAAAATTGTGTTTTGTGTCTATAGCGAGTATAGCTAATTTAATTGAAAAGAAATATAGAATAACTTATCTTGTCCTGTGGTTCTCTTAAACTCTTAAAAAGTCATAGACTTGTATTGGAGAAATGTAAAATGTTTCGCCTGTTTCAGATGTTAAAAATAGACATTCTAGTGGTGGAATTGAAAAACGTGAAAAACATTTGGGTGACTTACGGCACATGGTTGCGGATGGCAACCCAAAGCCAGACAAAATGTACTTGTTTGAAAAACTGCAACAAAGTCAGTCGAAATTGCAAGCGGAAATGCGTGCAAACAAACAGCTACACTCATCGGATACGAAAGATATACATAGACGTAGTGATGACAATTCAACTAACGATTATCCAAATTCTTCAAACTCTAGTCGGAGTCGAAGGGATAGTGAGAGCTCACGGACGTTGGCGAGACAGACTTCAAGAAACGGTGAGTTTAAATAAAAAAAATGGGTATAGAGCTCTTAATGTAGCTCTTATATAATGAGAGAAAAAAATAAGTGTTGTTGAAAGTGATAAAAAATGTGGATTAAACACATAATGATATGTGGATTAATGGAAGAGGATTATTGCGGTGGTGAGTAGAAGTTGGTTTTTGAATTACCGTATTGATTCCTAAATAACACCCATCCTGTAAAAAGTGTCCCCATGATATGTTTAGAGATAGTAATGTTCCAGACATCGTGAATCTAAATTTTTATCTAAATGTATGTTACCATTTTGCATTTAATTCCACCATGTTCATCAATATTAAGTCATTATTTGTTTATGACCATAAAGGGCTGTTATATATGTCTTTTCTGCTAAGATATGTCCTATGATCCATTTGAAGTTGTAAAGACAAAGTGCAGATGACCTGTCTTATATTTGTGAATGATATACTTCAACAGCATAATGCATTGTCTACATTCAACAACTGTTCATTTAATTGGACACAAATAATCTTAATCCTTTGTTGAAATTGTGTCATAATTGACCTGTTGTAAGCCCCTGAAAATCAGGAAATGCACACATATAACTTGTCAAAAGTCAATTTGCCACAGTGAGGAGGTTTCCACAATGATGTCTGCTGCTTCATACATAGCCCTGATGGGGTCTTGGCTCAAAACTGGTTAGTAATGAAACAGACGATTTTATGGCAGGATTAAAATTGTTTTTGTCCAATTGAGTAAACGTTATAGATGCAGACAACACACAGACTTCTGTTGAAGTATATCCAGTATACAGTGACTAAAACTTATATAGATTATTGATGATTTGTCTTTACAAATTTAAAATGGGCCAAACACATAGCTTATCGGTCTGTTATTACATAAATAGCATTGTTTACTTGTAGTGATAACCACAGGGAATCTTAGGAAATTTCCACAGACTGAGGCTTTGGCCAAGAGCTTGCTTATAAAATTCATGTTAAGAATGTGTTGTATGGACTGTAGTTTGAAAACCAATTTAGAATAAACAAGCAATGCTGAAAAATACATGGATTTTACATTGTGATTCATAGTAATTAATGATGATAATATTGGCTTCATTAAGCAGTTTCATTATTTTAAATATACAGGTGTTTAGCAAACCAATTTGTGCATCGTTCTTCTGAATCTTGTCACTTGCTGGGAGATTCACAGCACTATTTTGCATGTAGCATTGTCCAATAGTCCTCTAATGTGAGCAATCTAGGGCCCTTCATGGCACTCTTGTCCTCCCTTTTGAATTACTCAAGTTATTATTAAATTGAATGAAAGATTTAAGATTGAAAAATGTTATTAGAATAAAATTTGTATGTATATTTATTTATGAAAAATTTAGTTCAGATTATGTTGCAATTTTTTCCGCTATATAGAGTAGTGGAAAAAGTAGCAGGCTGCCTTAGAAAAAAAGAAAAAAAAGAAGCTTTTGCTATATATTGATATATCTAAATGCCCTACCTTAATCTGTAGCATTGTCTTGTGGACCTCTACAAACGTTACAGGTGTAAGGATGAAAATGCCTTTAAGGATATTTTTGGCTTATTTTATAGCAGATATTCGGTCATATTTCCAATTGAAAATAGTATGTTATTTTCCCAATCCACAGAAAAAAAAATCCCAATTGAAAGTTACAAAATAAAAATAGTGAACAAGGTGTTTACTAGCCATGATATCCTGAGGGTCATTTTGACTAATTTTTACCGACTACAAGGTCAAATCCCCATGATTTAAACAAAATTTGACCCTCCAGTTAAAATCCTGAGGGTCAAATCAGGCCTTTTGGAAATTTGAAGGGTGTGTCAAAGAGTCATTTCAAGGGTGAAATGGTCACCCTGATTGAATAACAAATTCTAAAAATCTTTGAAAATAAGGGCCTCTTCACTGTTGTGGCGCTTAAATGTTTGAAGATGCCATCCTAGACATTGATTCTTTGCATTCATTTAATCACTGCAAAAATAAAGTCATGCATTTTTTCCCCAATTTTTAACAAAACATCACTGAAGTTCATATGGGTCATGTTCCCAAAATCCTGGGAAAAAAGCCTGGCCCTGAAAAGCAATACAACGGTTATAGAAATCATGCCCTGAGTGTAAAGAATGGCCTCACTCCTTGGGTCACATAGTTTATATAGACATAGCAAAATCAGTGATAACGATATAAGATATTGTAAAATCAGTGCTTTTCAAATCCTACAGTGCAACATCTGGGACAACTCTTAAACCATTTCAAAAAACAGCTGGCAATAAACAGTATTAAAGTTAGTTGAGGAGGACAAGTCTAATTTGGACAGATTCTTATCTCTGATAACTATTTATTCCATCCCACACAGCATGGTGCATCTGTAATTTACACTTGATGCAGGGAATTCCCCAGGATTTTTTTTAAGTGCTACATTTTTTTAATTAGACGGGGGTGGGTGCGGGAGGGGGTCTTGACCCCCATACCGCGTGTCGAAAATTTTTGCCATTTTAGGTGTCGCGATACTGCTGTGGGCTGTTTTAAAACAAATAATGAAAGCTTTTCACATGATAAACATTTTCTTAATTTTTATTATTTACTTTTTCCATTTCCAACAATTCAAATAAATAAACAGTTATATATAAACACAAGATCACAACATGTGATCAACATTTATATGTATGTGTGTGTCCCATTTAGAGCTGTCATTGATTCAGTGCAAAGCATATCAACGATATATCGATATCAAGTGACTAAAATCAACGATACACCGATATATCGATAATATCCTATACTCACTTGTTTGTCATTCACTTTCATACCTGTTTCAATGATTTCAGTCAAAAACATGTTCTGTACAGTGTCTTGTCCACTGCATGATTTTTTCCAGACAATATTTTTTGTCACCATTGCTATGAAATAATTCCACTATATAACAAAAGCATACCATTAGATATAAATAACTGCTTCTGTATATATTTTGGGTGAATTGTATAATTTCTAGACATTTAATATATTAGTCAAAAGTATCGATTTTTTAAAATGTGTATCGATTATTGATCGGCAAAAAAATATCAACGATACATCGATATTGTCGATATCGATGACAGCTCTTGTCCCATTTAAATGAGTATATTTCAGTTGTTTTTTCTTCATTAACATCATTAAAAGTGGGCCTGTCTTCTAGGTTTTTTGTCCTTCCATGCCTTGACTGCCTTCTCAAAGTTGAAAGATTCTAATGGGGGTCCTTGAAGGGAGACGGCAAGAAGATAGTTTAGAACTTTAACAGAGAGACAATTCCTGTTTTCAGTCTTAACTCTCTTCAGGCAGCTGAATCCTCGCTCACAATCTGATATTAATAAATGAAAGTAATCATTTATGTTAACCTCATGTCTTTTATTTATATTGTTTGTTTGCTGTGAATATTTGAAAATTTAAAACTTCCAGCCTGTTTAAACTTAACTAAGTAAAAAGATTTATATTTGAAATGTTGAAAAACTTCTAGCAAAGTGTTGCACATCTGCAACTGTCATTGGAATTTCATTTATGTTCAAGAATGAATGAATTTAATAATAATTACCTGCAGTAGTGGTTGGGAGGAGGAGACCCACAGCAGCAATTCTGTAAAGAGCTGGATGACTGGTAGAAAGGTTGCCAGTAATCCAGGTCATGGTCTGGTCGGCTGACTGATCAGTCCCCTCTAGACTGGCATGTACCTGGTGCCAGTGGCTGCGGCACTGCTCCATATCTACACCAAAGTGCCTGGCCAGCTCCTGTATGTCCTGACAAACAAATGCTAAGCCTAACGGGTAGGACAGTACATTGCACTTCACAAAGCTGTCCATGAACAGGCTCGATTAAAGAGGGCCTGCAAAATTAATATTTTTTTCATTTTGGGGATTCAGTGAACAGAGACAGATTACAAGATATTTTTAATTAAAAAAGAAAATGACCAATTGGCTGTCACTAAGTGGGATTGTTGATGTCAAGTTTTCGTTGTTGTTTTCACTCAGTTGCAAGTTGATAATGAACAGTCGTAAATGTTTTCAATGTTAAAGTAGCCATCAACCAAATTTATTTCTGAATATCTATGCAGTTTAATCCAAGTAAAATACGATTATCATGTATATATTAAAAAGCAAAATGATCCTGAGACAGTTGCAACGACATTGCTCACAAAAAAACTCTTAAAATTGATAGTGAACTAGGCTTCCCTTATTCATGTTAGACTTATTATTTTTTTAAATCTTAATACTACAGTACTGTTTAGACGTAACGATCATAAGAAAGTGAAAGATGAAATTGAACATTACACTTATATCAAGACAATTAACCCATTCATCCCTAAATATCAAACTGTTATATCGCATGTCAATTAATGCCAATTATATTATCAAAACAATAAAAGTTATTACACCTACCTGAAACATGTAAATATCACACATGCCGCGGTTAAATTGCACCCATCTCAATACACTGTAATTGACAACACCTGAAAGTGCGCTAACAGTCGTCTGCAGACATCGATGACAGGTGTCTGTGACGTCACACAGTCTAAAGGCAATCAGTGTATCGGGTTGTGTATACGCCTCGGGTAATTATCTACACAGGACATGTATATTGGCTTGTTTATTTGGCTAATTGGGGTTAACTTATAGACACAATAGAAAGGAATATCGGTCATTTTTAAAGCGCTATGATAATTTTAAGCGCATCGGGATTTCTTGTTCTGAAATTTTAGCGCATCGGTGCCGATGCGCTAAAAGCGCCTGGGGAATTCCCTGCTTGATGAAATCAATTTCAGCAATCTGTAGGCTGATATGATTTGCATTGCCCAGGAAATAAATAGTGATAAAACACATTTGTCAACACTTTTAAGACATTGTCCAACATTATTACAACTAATTAGTCACAGACTTTGATTGAAAATGATACAGTTGCTGATCAACCTCCAATGAAAGGCCTTGAGTCATGCTTGAGTGTCAGGGATTTATAGGTGCACTGG